TTTCATTTGGAGGTTGAGCTGGGTGTAAATTCCCTCCATTGACTTAACAAATGAAGGAGACTGCTGAGGACCAGGCAACACTCTGGACACATCAGGACAAGCATGCCCAAGGGTATGAAGTTCTTCTATTCATAAAAACTGGTGCCTACAACTGTGTTGAAATAGCCAGTATTATAATGAGCCTGGTTACAAATTCCAATTTCTCATGATTCAAGTGTACCTGAAGGATGGAACTTGTTCTAGATGATGAAATCCATTCTAGTCAAACAAACTTTCTATCTCTTAGAAGCCTAAGGTGTACTTTACTGAATAAAACAGCCATCTGCAATCACTTATGAGTCTATGCTCATTCCCACCTGAATTAGGCAGGCCAGAAATGGCTTGCTAATGAGGCCACAGTTGATCAGAGACATTTAAAAAAAAAAAAGCCATGCAATCATCTGGTAGACAGACTGCCTTGGGCAGAGGAAGCAGCAAATAAAATACATGAGCTATCTCTAAGTCAAGATGGCACTAAGGAGGTTCAAGGTCAGGGAGGCTGTAGAAAAAAAGTTGGAAAAGGCAGGGAGATGAGAGTAGGGTAACCCAGTACTGAGAATAAGATCCCATGAGAAGCTGCCCATTATCCCAAGTCAAAGAGAGCTTGTAGGTAGTTCTAACAGGTAAGTCATCCGGCTCCACTTTCCAAAGAATCATGTTGCTCACTGGAAAGAAAATGGAAACTCTATGTGGCTGAGGGAAGGAGGTGGGCAACAAGAGCTCACTGCCCCAGAAGAGGGGCAGGATGATGGCACGCAGGCAGTAGGCTGGAAAGGTGCTGGGAAGTAACCAGACCCTGAGTACGTGTGTTTGGAAATGAAGCTGACAAAATGTGCTTGCTGACTGGGCGTGACGAGAAGCCAGAGGACTGCAAGAAATTGCAATAATCCTGCTTCCCAAACCAAAGACTACAGGAGAAACAAGAATGTCTATGTACACATGGGGCAGAAAAAAAACACATGGATTTACTTAGGATGAGCTGAAATTTAAAGTATGGTAATATGTGTCTCAGTGAAGAGACTAAGTAGTGTTTCAGAAGATCTTATGTCGACACAGAAGCTGGAATACCTGCCTCATGGGAGAGAGTTAATGAACAATGACCTGCACATTATCTAGAAAGTGGACAGACAGGGAAGGACTATATCCCAGACACTGAGAGGCTAATCGTCTTTGTTAGCTTGACTTATCTGAAAGAGGGAATGAATCCCAGCTGGGGAAGCGCCTCTATGACATTAGCCCATAGGCATGTCTATGGGTATTTTCTTCATTGATGGTTGATGTGAGCTCACAGCAATCAAGGAAACCATTGGGCATGTGGTCCCAGGCTATATAAGTAAGGTAGCTGAAGATCAGCTTTGAAGCAAGCCTATACAGCATTGCTCCTCCACTGTCACTGTTTCAGTTCCTGCCTCGTCTTCCCTCAATAATGGGCCATAACTCACAAACCAAATAAACCACTTCTTCCCCAAAGTTGCTCTTGTCACTGTTTTATCATAGCAACAGAACACAAACTAGGACTTAAGAATGAGGAATGGCCAAGAAACAAGTCACAATGAAGGAATGGTTCGCTCAGTCCAGAGCTTCAGGATGCTGGGTAAATAAAGGACTAAAACTGGGGTGTGTTCCATTTGCCAAGAGGAATGTCTGGTGACCAAGACAACAGCCACAGCAGAACAGTGAGGACAATTTCTCAGAGGGAAAGAAGGAAACAGAAGGAACAGTAGCAGATCTTTTGAGGTTCTCTATAAAGGAAGAGAATGGGCTTGTAAATGGAAGAGAACAGAAGACCCTTCCAGATCTGAGCTGTGATGAATGCTGGTGGAGTGGGCCTCAATGTCACTAGCCCAGTAAGACGGACTACCTGCTATGCTATTGAATTCAGGCCCTTCTTTCATAGTCACCCTAAGAGTTCAGAAGACTTTGCCAAAGAGGCAGCAGAGCTATAGTTTTTCTAGGCCAAGTAAACAGATCGACTCAAGTTTTCCAACAGAGCCCCACGGAGCTTGCACAGGTCACGCCAGACTGCCAGGACCCTTCTCCCTACCTCCCACACATATGTCCTAAGTTTACAGCAGGATAAAATTATTACAAAGTTCCATTTTATTCTGGCAGAAGCTACACACAACAAGCAAGCAACTGTTCTATAATAAACGTATGGCCATATTTGTAGAAGAGTAGTGAAATGTGCTATACAGGCTAAACCCAAAGGTAATATGCATCAAGGATAGAGAGGAAAAGGCAAAAGGGGGCAGGCAATCAAAATGTGGGATAAATAACATCCAGTATGGCATCTGAATACAGAAGAGTCATTTGGGAAACTTGAACTACAGGTAGATTAAGAGATTGAAAGGTTTGAATGCTGAGACCAAGGCGAGCGTGGTGCTGATGGTACGGCATGAGACAAAGGCAAAAAAGAGTGGCCCAAGTGTCAGCAAGCTACAACAGGGTGTCCACAGACAGGGCACAGTGGAGGGAGGAGATGCTAAATAAAGAATGGCCAAATGCTAGAGCCTCTACAAATATGAGTTAGGAACATAAGCTCACCTAAACACCCAGACCTCAGCCCTCTTGCTATCTGCTAGAAAGAGAGCCCTACTTCTCCCATCTGCCACTACCTCATTAGCTGCAAGCTCCTGTTTCTAAACAGAAATCAAATGCTCTCCCCTGGACACATCTGATACTTTCTGTGTGCTTTCAACAAGCCAGGTGAGCAGTCAATGGAGGTAATAGCACATTTCAAATGTGCTCTCAGATATATTTTCAACAGACACCCAGAACACTGGACAACAAAGCCAACACAGGATAACAGAAATATGTTGGCTCAAAACTGTCTTTCTAGATTTTGTTTTCTGTGGTAATCTGTGGTTTCCTTAGATTTAAAAGCTGCTCCCTACTATCTGTGATCAATCTTGTTTGAAACTATCTGTTCTAGTGGTTCTCAACCTTCCTAATATGAGCCTTAAATACAGTTCCTCATGTTGTAGTGACTCCCAATCATAAAACTATTTTGTTGCTAGTTTGTAACTATAAATTTGCTACTGTTATGAATTGTAATATAAATAGCTGATAAACAGGATATCTAATATGTGATCCCCACTGGTCGTGACCCACAAGTTAAGAACCACTGGTCTGAAGTAAGTAATAGGAGCTTAAAGTATACAACCTTACTAACAAGTCAGGCCCCAAAGCACTCCCCACCTTCTTGGGCTTTCAGACACAGGGCTGGGAAACCTTGAGTCATCAGCTACATTAGGCAGAGAGACCCTCATGTTGACCCAGTGCCAAACATTGGGCCTGAGCATCATGTATCTTTTTCGTAATTTTACAGTAGAGCAAATACACACACACACACACGCGCGCGTGTGTGTGTGTGTGTGTGTGTGTGTGTGTGTATGTATGTATGTATGTATGTATGTCTTGAGTTACTAAAGAGATCTCTTACAATTTCAAACTCTACTTTTTGTTGCTGTTGTTTGTTTTTTGTGTCTCAAGACATGATTTTTCTGTGTTGCCCTGGATGTCCTGTAATTCAATCTGTAGACCAGGCTAGCCTCTGTCTCCCAAGTGCTGGGATTAAAGGCGTGTGCTAACCAGTGCCTCCCTTCAAAGTCTATTTTTAAACAAAAATTGTTTTGCATTTTTTTTTTGTATTACTCAAACAAATGTCTTAGAAAATTTGCTGCTCTCAGGAAGCAAAAGTTAGACTTAAGAGTAGGAAATGAACTCTTCCCATTTCCCATACTATGTCAAACACAAAGGAAGGTTACGGGATGGCGAGGGCCAGACTCCCCTCCTTCCAGTTAAATCCTGTTTAAAATCACACTGACTACGACTCCCTAGGCCACCATAAGGGCCATGTACACATCACTCACAATGAACTTATCCATTCTCGATTCTCAAAGGGGCATAAAACCTAAGATTCTTTTGATGTTATCACAAACAGGGCAAATTAAATGGCTATAAAAGGTATTCAAAAATACTGATCTCTCACTGTTCCTCCACACAGATGTTTTTTGCAGGAATCACAAATCTATATTCTTAAATCTCCCCGTGTCACAATGAGCAACTCGAACAAGCTCCTGTCTCTGTAAATTCGCCTGTACAAACTGAGGCACACAAAAGTCCCAAATATGGAGACTCAACTGTGCTGAGCAGGGTAAGCTGAGTGATTAACTTTCAACCTGCTTCTTTGTAAACTCTCACATCATGAAAGATCTAGAATATCAATGCTCAGAGGCATTATTAGGTAAAAAGACAGAACTCATGGAGAGAAACATAAAATAAAGTATGGCTTTTTTTTTTGTTTTTTTGTTTTTCGAGACAGGGTTTCTCTGTGTAGCCCTGGTTGTCCTGGAACTCACTCTGATTAAAGGCGTGCGCCACCACCGCCCGGCAAAGTATGGCTTTTAAATTCTGACAAAGTAGAAACACTTTTTATTCTGCTATACAAAATCAAAAGTGTCTGATATCTGTAAGTAAATGCTTAATTGAAGATACACACACTAATACAGATAAATCATAAGGTATATCACAAAACAATTTTTTCCCTAAATATACCCCTGTAATCACTAAGCAGATGTATGTATGTATCTATGTATGTCTAGAAAAAAGTTTTTAGTCAGCCTCACTATATAGATCAGACTGGCCTGAAACTCAGATCCACCTGCCTCTGCCTCTCTCGTGCTGAGATTAAAGGCTTGAGTCACTCTGCCTGTCTCTCTTTATGAATATAACCATGTTGCATGTTTTATTTCATTTTAAGGGGAGAATACTGTCCTTCTGAAGAGGAAGTAGGGTGTGGAAAGTTGAGGTTACTACAGTAAAGTCAGACAGCTTTCTTGGTGTTTAAGCCCTCTATAGTTCTTGGGTACTTCTCAGGCGGGTTAGCCAGGACACAACATGTGGAAAGAAGCAGTTAACACATATCCACATCACCAAGCATGGCCAGCACTTACCTTCTGCAGAGCCCCTCATGCTTGCCAAGGTGGAGTCCAGCTCACTTGCCTTCAGCTGTGCAGCCTGGGTTCTGATGCCTTTGTTTTTATTCTCTTGTGATTTCTTCTTCCCTGAAACACAGCATATGTTTATTTACTCATTCATTTATGATACTCTGGTCCTTGAGACAATTATTATTATTATTATTTTTTTTTTTTCCGAGACAGGGATTCTCTGTGTAGCCCTGGCTGTCCTGGAACTCACTCTGTAGACCACGCTAGCCTCGAACTCAGAAATCCTCCTGCCTCTGCCTCCCAAGTGCTGGGATTAAAGGCGTGTGCCACCACTGCCCGGCCTTGAGACAATTATTAACCCAAGCAAAGTAGACTGTATTTGCATGTAATTGGATTTCCAAAGAAAAGAATGGACAGTGACTAAAAATATCATCAAATCTGTCAGAAAAAAAACCAACTCGTAAGTCCTGCATTTTTAGATGTTTGGTCCCTAGTTTCACAGCATAATAGCTATCAAATTAATGAACAATGTATTATCAAAAAGTAATACTAATATAAAAAACTTTAGAATCAATGAAGTTTGAAATCATATAAATAATATGAGAAAACACGTATTAGAGAAAAACAGTATGTCGTAACTTAAAACATTTTATTGGTTAAGACAGGATAATGCGTAACTACGTAACCACAACTTCGGAAATAGACATTTTGCTGCATTATAAGGGATAAAAATGGCCTCTCTCAAATGCAGAGAAATCAGAAACATGGCCCTTATTTCATTAATAACTCGGAGGCACACAAAGGAAAAACTAACTACACTTCAAGTGATCCCAAACTACAGAAAGTTAGACTAAACCAGGACCTCTCCTGAGAAGCTACAACAATGAACTGAAGCCCCAAAGGAATACAGTATATTGCAGTACTGGCCCCAAACTGGTAACCCATAGTTACCAGATCCCAGTGAATCTCAAGTCCCTTCCCAAGCACTTCCCTCTCTTCTGGCATTATTCTCACACACTCCACCCCCACTCCCAGATCTCCCTAGGAAAAGCCTCCCTGCTTTTCCTGAATAAACTTTCTGACTCCTTCATAACCACCTTAGACAAAAAGACAGACAAGAAACTACTTATCACTGTGGAGCACAGAGAAATCAAATTCTCCATAGTCTCAACTGTAGATGATCATGAGAAGAATATAATCAGCTAAACGAAGACAACAGATCGTTTTAATGTCAGAAACACAAAAATGGCATAATTGAAAAAGATCATTAAATTAAAAGTACAGAAATCAACTATAATATAAAGTACTAGTTTAAAAGGCTTTGATGAAAATCTAACACACATAAGAATACAAACTATACAAAACAAGCTATTTGTTATTCTTTCAAGGGGAAGTTCTAAGATATCATTTTAAGTGCCCAACTCTTTAGCTAATAAGAAAACAGGCATGGTTTGTTCTGTTTCCTTTAGAGGGGTGGTGTGGAGGGGGTCAACAATATGGTTAGACATTCCCTAAAGTATGGCCACGTGTTCCTTTCCACGTGCACCTACAATAGCTAGGAACACAAGCACACTCATGACCAAAAGTTCGTCTGCTTTGACAGGAAGCAGAGACTCATAGCAGTGAACGAAGGATCCCATCTCCAGGTGAAGACTCACCTGAACTGGCACTACAGAAGGCAGACACACAGGCACCTTCCACATTGGCTCTTCAGACTCTCCTGTCAACTTCCCAGTGTTTAATCTGAGCCTGGTAATTGCTGACTCAAACTCCTGAAGTATTTGTGTTGAACAGAATCTGATTCTTTCCCCTTCAACAGTTCCTTGTCCTCAGTATGTCTATGTCCTTCCTGTGTGTGTGTTTCTCCGTCTGAATCAGATTAGTAACTCCAAACAAAACACATGCAAACCACAAACAAAAACACAAATGACAATCTGATGATATAGTGCTGTAGAACTGCTCCAGTGTCATAAGGTGAGCAGCAGAACCCTCAGATATTCCACTCAAAAGTTAGAGATGCCCATCCCCCACCACCAATCAAAACCACATTTTTTTCTAACTTCTACCAGTACTTAGTGTGATCAGTACTGTGTGTCCTCACACAGGCCAAGAAATAGGACCCTTTACTATAACTGTTTACAAGTTTTAAAATGGAGAATTGTAATCTAAACATGCCCTCTCCAATAAGCTTGAGATATATTAGAAATAAAGCACACTGTAAAATGTAATAGAAATAGGTGTCAATTTGTTGACCAAAATACTCTGGCAAGGCAATTCAATGATTTTCTACAACCTAAGTGCTGTAGCACAAGTAGAAACATGAAACATACCAGATACAGGGAAAGAGAACATTAAATATGTTAATATATTAATATAAATATTCTATTATAATAAAACAAGCAGTGTGATGTACTCAAAATGTAGAAGCTGCTTAAGCATGTGAAGGCAAATGCCATGTTACATTGTATTCCCTGCCTTAAAACAAAACACGCTTAGAACAGCTAGTCCATGCCACATGTCCCTTTCTGAACTCATCAACAAGTTTGTTTCTTTCTTTTTTTTTTTTTTTTTTTTTTTTTCTCGAGACAGGGTTTCTCTGTGTAGCCCTGGCTGCCCTGGAACTCACTCTGTAGACCAGGCTGGCCTTGAACTCAGAAATCCTCCTGCCTCTGCCTCCCAAGTGCTGGGATTAAAGGCGTGTGCCACCACCGCCTGGCCCTAACAAGTTTGTTTCTACTCCCCAGGTATTCACTGTAAAAGCTGCAGCCACCATGGAAAGGCAATCCATTGTGAGGACAGACCACATCAAGATTGGCATCAGGATGAGTACCCACCTCGTGTACCTCTCTCAGAGGTCTAACAAGAGCTACAAACAGAGCAGTTAACCCGCCTGGTTTCTCAAGCAGAGCACAAATGACACTCTCAGTCACACACTTGTCTGTTGTGGGGTTGCTGACTCACCAGACTATGTTTCATAGCATACTGCAGAGGGGAAGGATGCTCTACCCAAACTCTCTAGCAACAATGCTTCCATTCCCAGAGTGTGACAACTTCCAACTGAAAACACAGCTAAGGCCTCTCCAGTTCTCTGTGGGGAGATCTCTCAAATATCACAGCACTGGACTAGACCGATGTACTTACTATATTTGAGGTTACTGCAGACATATGAGACTCTATAGTCTACATATTTATTAAAAATTATGCTAAATACTAAAATAACACCAATATACTAATTCTAAAGATGAAGAAATGAAACCACCAAATAAATAACTTAGGAATGAACAATAATGGATTTATGTGGCAACAGAAATCTAGCAAAGATATCATTGTTTCATGGAGCTAAGACATCAGAATTTTTTCAATCAGAACCATTTATCAAGATACTTTTGAGGGCCTCTGATCAGAGATGAAGGGACTACCAAGAAACACCTGTCTGTCCCATCAGAGAGCTATTTAGTGAATCAAAATGAAGGCTCAGACCACAAACACATCTATGACAGAAAACAAATTAAATCCTACTGCAACTTATGTGAGTGCCTAGTGCCACGCCAGTACTGTTGGGACACATTTCCTTAAACAGGAAAGTTCTTTCCAGGTACTTGGTTTCTGTCTGCTACATTAAAAGAGATTGAAAGAGAAAAAAAATATAACCTATCAGGACTTTTCTGAAGGGAAAAGGGGACTTGTAGCTTCTATCTTTGATGGGAGAGGTACTACTGGGTGGCTGGCAAGTACACAAGTGCACTTACCAGGGGTTCCTGCAGGGTCCTACATGGTGCTACTGCCAGCTGGCTGCTCCACTTGGTCTAGACAAGAAAGATACAGGAATGAAACATGAGGAGAGTGAAATGGAAATGACAAAGAATAGCATGAGACAACACTTTATGTGTAGAGGAAGAAATGTGCACATAAAGATGAAGAAAAAAAAAAACAAGACAAAGAGCAATTATCCACTGCATCAAGTCTCTGATATACCCAAAAAGAATAGGGCCACTCCTATGTTCTTAGTTGCTGAAGTTAAGATCCACGTGTTAGGCTCACTGTCAGGTTTATACCATGCCCATGTAATAAGACATGATACTCATGCCATCTACAGACCACTCTTCTCGAAGACCTCAAAGTACCAACCCATGCCTACAACAGAGACACCCACAGATCAGAGATGGGAAATGTCTACCCAGGTCTCACAACTATAGCTCTGGCACCATAATTAGTGAAGAAAATACTACTCCAAGTGCTCCTCCTGCAGCCGTCTCCTAACGCCTCAGTCAGCACACCCGTTCTTGGCACTCATTACTAGCCTGGCAGATGAAGCAGATACATAGAGCTTAAGCACACTCAGCGTAAGGATGCCAGTCAAGCTGGAAGGAAGCACTCTTCCATTTTACCTTACATCAAAAAATGTCAGTCAACAACACAGATCTCTGTTCCGAACAAGTATGATTCAGCAAGGAAACAGGCGTTTCTAATCAAACAGCTGCCATATAAAGACACTCAACAGCTGAAATGGCTGCTTTCGTAGACAATGGACAGCCTTATACTGCTAGTGCCCAAGGTGGGAGTTGCAAAATCAAAACTGCTTAAGGCAGCACATTAATAATTTTACCCAGATACGGACTATGCTCTACTATTCAAATAAACTAGACAAACAACAGGAAATACTAGAGGATAATGTTTCACTTAAAAATGTTTGGGCAGCAAAGAAAATGCAAAATTCCAGGTTTGCTCAAGCAACATTAAAAATTCAGCACAACAGTGAAGCTACTGCATATTATCATTTAAGTGAATTAATTTTAGAAGAAGTCCATAGAACTCTCCTTGTGTGTTGCCTCCTCACTGAGGAGTTAGCCATCTCTTCAGTATCAACAGAATTGGGGCAGCACAAAAGCCAGGCCCATAATCTTTCTTTGCAGTTCAGACTGTCCTCATCCTTGGACACAAACAGTTAACCAGGATAATAATTGTGAGACAATTCACCATGAAAGGTCACTGATGGTCTGAGTGGCAGACCAACAGAATCAACAGAGGCCATCAGCCTGGCTGTCCACTGCCTCTAATCCTCATCATTCAGCCAGACCAACTTCCCAGAAACTCAACTTCTGTTGGTATCATTCCAACAAAGTCCATTTCCCATGATTACCACTAAGGTTATAATTTCAAGTTCAATGTTCCTTCCGTTTCTTTTGTCTTGTGTTCGTCCTGACAATGAAGTAAAGTATCTTCCATCCCTAGAATCCCTCTTTCTAATCTCAGAGCATTACCATCCACAATCTCCTGCTTCTGCATGGTCTTCTTCCTGTCTCTCGGGGTAAATCTAAGTATGCTTTCGTAGAGGGCTACAGAACGACTTCAACAGACACACAGAGAGCTAGGATGAAAAAGAGGCACACAGACTCAGTGACCACACCATAGGTAATAGGTGTGGGAAAGCTGCTTTTAGTAAAAGGTGAGAACCAACAGAACACCATGAAGAACTTTGAAGACTATACCCAGCTTCTCTAACCTCAGACACAGCTTTAAACTTCACAGTATTATGTGAACTGCTTCAAATCTCAGAATATCAGTCAGCACCCACCCTGGACTTCAATTCTCCTCCAACTCTCCCCTTTATCCTTTGCGTTCCAAGAGTGCTGGTTAATGACACTGTCCAGGTTCTAATCTCACTCTTAAAAATGAGACATAATAATCCTTCTATATTTCAGGCAAAGTGTGGGCAATTCATTACATCACTTACACTCATTACACATTTTTTTCTCACATTCTGTACGGCAAGCCAGCTGATGAGCAGCACTCAGGACATATGGCTAAGATAAAACTTGGGTTCAGAAAACCAGATGCAAAGTTTAACGGGAAGAAAGCACAAAGTACATGTTCAGGTGGGTTTTTAAAAGTAAGGCCAACCTCTTGATCATGTTAGTAAAGTAGAAGAATAGATAGGTAATGTCAACGTCAGTACCTTAAATAGTCAGTTATGTTAGAGAGTGGTGGGCAAGCAGGGGAAAACATGTCAGCACTGTCTTACACTGGAGGTGACTAAATGGTCTACAGTGGGTATGGAGACAGAAGAAAAGCTGGGGACAGATATGAAACTTAAGTTCTCCACAAAGAATTCCAGCCCATTTTCTGTATCTGTGTACTTGTAGGTAACCAAAAGCCACTCAAGGGAGAATCAGGAGGCTGATATGACAGGGCTGATGGGGACCAGTGACTGAGACACAGTGCCCAGAAGGGCTTCTGTAAAAGGTCATCAAACATCACTATGGCCCTGTAACAAGGTCAAAAGTGGCTGTGACAAATAGCTACCAGAAAAGAGGCCCTGCCCAGCTTGACATTGGTAAGAGGCTGGGACATGCTTTTCTTTTCATAGAAATGAAAGAAACAAGCTACACACTTCTCAGATTTTTTTTTTAACTTAACTCCAAATTTTACCTGAGAGTAAGAAACTGCTAAGCTCCTTCAGCACAATCATACCTCGTTTTCTACAGCTAGGTTAACTAAGAGCTGTCTGTGATCTCTGAGGCAAATGATAAAAAAGAAAACCTTCATGGCTTTAAGTTGTTCCACATATTAAACAGATCTCTCCAACAGCCTAAGGTCTGCAGCTTTGCTGTGTAAATTCCTAATGTGCCTGCTCCTGCCAAGGTGCTGCTGCAGAGCCCGTATAGGACTTCAGGCTCCCCGACTTCCACACAACCATACACAGATGCTTCTTATTCTGCTAATTCAGTTGGGTAAACAACAGTGCTGACCCTAAGAGTGGGAGGAAGACTAGGATGAAGGCTTGCCGGAACCAGGCTTAAACCCAGACCCTCATTTTACCTGCATTTACAAGTGCAGTCTGCTTTTACCAGTATAAGATACAAGTACTATCCATACTTATGGACTCTATTACTCTTAACAAATCTTTCAATCATTTTCCCAGTAGATCTGTTCCGTGTGCAAAGTCATATATCTCTTTAAGAACTGAGCCAAATCAAGGGGGCACATTAAATCAAAAGGTCTTCAGCCAAGGAAACTGCACCACAGCTCTTGAGTCATAATGGGAGAAATAAGAAATAACCCCGTTGCAAGCAGACAGGAACCACCTGGGCACATGCTGGTGGTCCAGCAATCTGACATTGACACTGAGGAGCAAGTGAGATCAGTATACAAAGCAAGCCTCTTAGACCCTGTCAAGAAGGAGTTCCCATCAGATTCCACTAAACAAAACATGGAATTCTCCACACTTGGGAATCTAAGTTGTCAGCCTATGCTCCTTCACAGGCAGCCTCTAGTAAATCTCTACATCAACCATTTGCTTTGTTCCTTAGTTTTGCACTGAGTAGGAACAGAGATAATTATGGATATACACAAGTCTAATGAGGCAGGGAAGAAAAATACTCCCAGTATTCATAAGCACTCCATCACTGCACGCCAGTGCTTTACAAGTATAATAAGTACAAGTGCAGTCTGCTGTTACCAGTATAAGATACAAGTACTATCCATGCTTATGGACTCTATTACTCTTAACAAATCTTTCAACCTGCTTTTCTTCTATCCGTTTTACATTTAATGCGTGTGTGTGTGTGTGTGTGTGTGTGTGTGTGTGTGTGTAAGTGAGAAAACAACTTTTAAGAGCTGGTGTTCTCTTTCTACCATGTGCTTCCAAAGATGGAACTAAAGTCATCAGGCTTGGTGGTAAGCACTTTTTTTGTGCTGAGCTGCCTCTCTGGTCCTCAACCTAAGTTTTTTGTTTTTAAATTAAACATATTGAGGTTCACATTAGTAGTTTTTAATGTTTAGGGAAGGAAATCTTGAACCCCTCTGAAAACCAAGTAAAAACCTAAGGCCTCTCTCCCAAGTTAGTCACTTCGGCATGAGCACATTCTGTATTTCCACACTAAGGTCTAGGCCTCCTCTTACTGGAAACAGGCTGTAAGTGCACACAAGCAGTGTCCACTCGGCAGAAGCACACCTGTGTATTCTCTAACTTCTCAGAGCTGTCAAATCTCTTTGCTTCCATCAAAGCCAGCTTCAACAGTAACTTCTAAGAAAGTGGTTCTTCATATTTGCCTTTTCCTAACTTCAAACCCATAAAAGTACAAAGAAATCTGAAATGTATTCAGTTACTTTTATGACTAATGATTTCTGAGAAAATGTATATAAACTTCATTCAAACACATAAAACCTGGTTAAGAGGCACAGCAGCCAGGAATGTTGTGAACTACAAAAGGTAGACCCAAAGACGATAAGAAGCCTTCATCCCAACAAGCCAATGATGAGGAGAAGATGTGCAACACATCAAATGCCACAGGTCATCTGACCACACCCCAGCAGCACAGGTGAGCAACTTAAGGTAACAAGTGCAGCGAGGCAGCTTTGGAGGCAGGGAGCACCTCCAGACTACAAGTAGGACTATAGGTAAGACTGATAACTCTTACCTAATTAAGTCTAATAGTTAAGTTTGGATCTCAAAAGCAAAACTAGATTTCTAAAGAACATGTTAGAAAATGTTGGAACTTGACTTTTTAGATGTGTGCCAATTACCCCAAGCACTGACAGTCACCACAGAATGGTGCTGGTACCTCCATTGCTATGGAATAAACCAAGGATCAGTAGATGTGCAGCAACCAGCAAGGGAGGGCTCATCCTCAATCTGTGGTTGCTGCTATTTTAAGGCAAAAGCTCTCACTTTATGACCCAGGCTGGCTCAGGTGGCATGAGCTACCACAACCTGCTCATCTTACCCCATCTCACAGAGACTTATACCAAATGGCACCAACATGTAAGGCAACATTGTTACCAAAACAAGGAGTCAACTGGCCTT